CACACACACACACACACACACACACACACACACACACAAAACAGGTCAGCAGCCGACCCCAAGGTAAGGGAGGTATATTCCAAAGAGAAGGAGGGGAAGAGCAACCACGGCATCTGGGGTCATCAGGGTCGGGGGTCCCCTACCCCACCCCCTTCCACCCGAAGAATAGCGCCCAGGGAGAAAGGCGTGGAACCAAGTACCAGGCGGACCAGTTCTGACCAACAGGGGGAGAAGATCCCCCAGACACTAATCCGGCATACCAGACGAGGAGTAACTCCGAAAATGGGACCACACGAGGAGGCACAGGGAAAAGCCCAGGACCAACCCCCGGATTTAGGGCAGACGAATCAGGACCGGTCGATGGCAGTATACGCATCAGACCCCGCAAAAAAGGAGAGCTCCTCGGATATCGACGAGCGCTGTCCTAATTCGAAGGTAATCCCAGGGAAATTTGGAAGAAGGAATCTCCCGCCCCCACCCTTCGATCGCCCCTCCCCTGATCATGATGCTACCGGACCCGATAAGCTTCCCGATATATACCCACTCTCCTACTTGATGGGCATGCATGTGTGTGCGCTTGCTTGTGTCTGAGCAAACTTGCCGACGAGGCAAACCGGCGATACTTTGCTTACTATGGCGGACTGGGACTTTTCAACGGGGGCAGATGAGGACTTACCGCTTAACTCGATACCAAAGAGGAGAGAGCGGCGGAAGCAGCGGTATATCTCCCTCATACTCTTCTCTCTGTATGGACCTTTGTTTTCTGCATGTCTCCGGGGATTGGGTGCGTGTACGTTTGTGATGCAGGTGTTTCAACCCCTCTGACGAGCCGGTTAGTGGCAACGGCGAAAAAGCTTTTAGGGGAGCCACACCCCTCCCACAAGCATCTGGAGCATCCAAGGAGAAGCGGATGATGTCCATTTTGTCTCGACAGCCGCCATAACCGAGTATCTATGGGAGTTGAATCCGCATGTAACTCGTAGTAGTGGAAGTGGAGGGACTACATGGGCGGAAAAAAAAAAGGGGCACGCAATGTACGGCAAGCGACGGGAGGCGAAGATGGGCAGGATATACAAAGATGGAGAATCGGAAGGGGAATAGGAGTAAGCGAGGAATAGTAATTGAAGAAAAGGAGGGAGCCAATATCGAGTTGGACGGATTAAGAACGAGAAGGGAGAGGGAGGGAGCCAGGGAATGGGCAATCGAGTACGGTGGCTTTCATTTGTCTATAATGATGTGGTGATGACTTTTTGTCGGTGTGAAGTCTGTTTTATCACTTGATGGAATGGAATGCCCTTGGTATAACTTTATTTCCTCCCCCTCGCATTTATGAAAATCCCCCAACACATGTATATATTTCCTTTCCCCCCCCCCCCAACTCAAAAGGGCTATGTTGGTAAGGATGGAGGAATTGTTGGAATCTGTACAGCAGTTCTCTTTCTCGATCGCCGGAGCTGGATGTTGAAGGGATCCTGACATCACCCAATAGTAACGAGGCCACAACAATTGGCGAGCACGATGTTGTACCAAATACCCTTACAAGGGTATTTGGCGTGCTTTCTGCAAGCCACGCCTGTGCTGCCCCGTCCGAGGTTGACAGCCCGCTCGAGGGTGAGAGTTGAGTCCTTGCCCTGGTGAGTAGCACGAGCGGTGTGTCAACGGCGGGGTGCAACCACGTCGGGCCTAGGTGTGCAGCACTGTGTGCGATGTTGCCGGCCGGCGGGACGCACGGCCTCTCGTCCCCTTACTAATTTTTTTTTGTTCCCTCGTGTTCATTCTTCTTATTATTATTATTATTAAGTTTTTTTTCTAATTATTACTCCTACTTTTTTTTTTCTTTTTTTTGTTTGATGCCTTGGACTCGGTAATCGGTTTCGAGGCCGAGATGGGACCAACGAGCCTGGCTTAGTTATTACATCGCCGGGCACAGGTGGCCGGCGCGGCAGTCAAGGACTTCTAAGCACGCGGCTCTTTCGCCGGGGCCGTTCGGGGTTCCTGCGTATCCGGGATGCTGGTAGAATTCCCCTACCCTACCCACACTGAAACACGGATCGAAGAGGTCAACGTGCGTGAGAGTGGTTGGTCTGTGGTCGTGGCTTCCCTCGCTTCCCATTTGGAGAGCGTCGATAGCCTAAAGTGGAAGGGAATTGGAGAACATTCTAACAAACCTCCGGGGCAGCAACCCGGGGCCGGCAGGGGCAGCTGCGAGTGCACCGCCCCCACCACAATCTGCTGTGAGAGTCATGAGTGTGAGTGTGCCCGTTGGGTCCCGAAAAATAGTGGACTGAGCCTGGGCACAACGGGCACCAGGCGGACCCCTCTCCGCTTCGGACGTGAAAGTTCTCACTTGAATATTTGTTACTACCACTAAGATCTGCACTGAGACCCGCCCCACCAGGGCTTGTGGTGCAGGTCCCGCAGCAGGCCATGCGCCCTCCTACTCGTCGCTGTGCCGGAGCAGCTGTCACGACCGAGTATAGGCCGTCCGCTGCAGTGCCATCCATTTCGGGGCTGATTGATTCATCAGGTGATGCAGGTCCCGCAGCAGGCCATGCGCCCTCCTACTCGTCGCTGTGCCGGAGCAGCTGTCACGACCGAGTATAGGCCGTGCGCTGCAGTGCCATCCATTTCGGGGCTGATTGATTCATCAGGTGAGTTGTTACAAACTCCTTAGCGATTTCAACTTCCACAAGCACCGCTCTGCTGTCAGTATCAGCTATCACCCGTCGTGGTGGCTGGGTTAGCATGTAGATGGATACAGAAGCGGAGCAAGGCAGATGGAGAGACAATGAGCCGAGGCAGCGAAGCAAAGAAGAGGAAAAAGAATGGACCTGGGCGAGGGGAAGCGCGGGATGCATGCAGACGAAGATGAAGATGGCGCAGGCAGAGAGAAAGGAAGAAGTTGCAAAACAAAAAGATGAATAACTTGCCCAATTCTTAACAGAATTGGGCGGAGTAAAATTCAGAATCAAGGTTTTTGGGCGGGCGATCTCAAATTTGTGCTTAGTTTTAGTATAGAGCTAGTAGGCATGGAGTTAGAGGAGAAATAGAGTGTGTGGAGATGGTGGAGAGAAAAAGAAGGAGAGTGAACGGGAGTAAAATTCTGTTAGCTCGGCCATCTCTCAACCGTTTTTGGCAAACAGAGATTCGAAGTTGGGGTTTTTCTCGAAGGCAAATCCAATGGCATTGCCAGATTTAGCAATGGGGAAGTGGTTTGATCAGTGTGAGTGTTAGGGGCTGTGCGTGAAGTTGGAATGGCCCAAAGAAGGTGATTGAAGAGAGCTCAGATAGGGGCGGCGCAAGTAAAGGGAATACGTACCTCGAAGAAGCAATGATGGGGAGATTCCATAGGGGGAACCCAACTTGGGAAGTGAGGAAGAGAATGGGCTGCGTAGGGTCACACATCTGTCTGTGAATAAGGATGAATGTACTCGGAGTCTAGCGGAAGATTCATTTCAACTTTGCTCATTGTATTGACCGGAGTCGCCTCTCTCTCCCTCTCTCTCACGGGGGCGGCGACATCTCTGTAACAGAAGCTATGTCCTCGAGGTGCGAAGTTGACAACTGTGCGCACGGGTGAACAACTACAGGCCAGCGCGCAGCTGTAGACATGCGAAGCCAGGCGCGTGGATGAAAATGGGCGTATGAGCGAGTGAGCGAGCGAGAGAGAGAGAGAGAGAGAGAGAGAGAGAGAGAGAGAGAGAGAGAGAGAGAGAGAGATCAATTACCCGTGTATCTGTCTGTGTTCTCACGGAAGATTCATTCTCATAGCACACTTGACGAGTAAAGGATCAATCGCCAATTTCACTGTCGCCCTCATCGTTATGAGCGTCATGCCCTGTCTCACCATTAGAATCATCGACGCTGCGAAGACCTTCGATGGTGGTTGTGTTGCCATCACAATGGGATACTCGTTTTTATGACCTCGAGTTGTTGGGCTTTGTCATCATCGGGCTCCTCGCGATACATTGCCTCCCTCGCTATTCCTCGTGTGTATCATCGTAATGGTACTGGAGACTGTGGTGTCGCATGTCGTGGGTAAACTCTTGGTCGTAGCAAGCGTTCCAAGCAGTTGCCTATTTTATCTGGGCATTGAGGAAAAGTGCATGAATCAAACTGCGACCGCAGGCACATGCGTTGAAAGGTGGAAAGGGTTAAGAGGAGACTTACGACCGAGAACTGGCGATTTGGGATGAATCAAAGGTCAGGTCACGGGTTGAATTCCGCGTGCGAATTGATAGAGAACTCGACAGGTTATCTGCCCATGTTCTAGTGGAAGATTCATTGTCAGTTTCGTTGTAGAATAGGAATACAACATTGAAAGTCGTTGTCTACATCTTTCCCAACGCTGAGGGAAGATTCTTTCTTACTGTGCACATACGATAAGTAGTGCAGTAAGGCACAGGATCGAGACAACCCCGCTCGCATTCGGGTTGTCGCCCAAATGATGGTCGTCGACTGTGGTAGTCAGTCCTATACCGCACGTCGCAATTCTCATGCTGCTTCTGTTGGTTCTTGCGAAGACCATT